TTGATATACAAATGGGAGTAAACTCCTGAAAATACATTCAAGCATCATTAGTCATCAGGGAGACACACATTAAAACCTCAGTTGTGATACCGTTTCATCCCCAATAGAATAAATGTAGTCAAAAGTCTGATAGCACTAACTGTTGAAGAGGATGTAGAGTAGCTAGAACACTCAAATATTCCTGGTGGGAGTATAAATGGTACAAGCACAATGAAAAGCTGTTTGCCAGTTTTCATAAATTTAAACCTACAGCTACCCACCCACTCCAGGTCCTAGCAGTTATACTCCTAGCTATTTATCCAAGAGAAATAAAAATCTAGATCCACACAGATTTTCCATGAATGTTCATAGCAGCTTTATCCATAATGACCAAAAACTATAAATAGTCCAAATTCCCATTAACAAGAAAATGAATAAATTATTATAGTCATAAAATAGTTTTATGATAAAAAATAAAGCATATAATTATGTATATATTTATTAAACATCATACAACATCATTTATAAACATCATTGAATAACACACATAAGATCTGTGCATTTCAGTCTATGTAAATTTTGCCTATATTTAAAAAGAAAAGCTAGTTAGGCAAAGTATCAGTCAGGAATAGCTTGATTATGCCGTGGTAACAAATAGCCCCCAAACCACAGTGACTTAAGTAGGAGTCAGCCTGCTGGTCAGCTGCAGCCTACTGCCTGCTTATATAAATAAATGTTGATTGGAACACAGCCATGCCCGTGTGTGTGTGTATTTCCTATGGCTGTTTTCCCACTACAGGGACAGAGTTGAGGACTTGTGACAGAGGCTGTATGGTCCATAAAATAAAAGCCTAAAATATTTTATATCTGGCCCTTTACAAAAAAAGTCTGCTAACCCCTTGCTTAAAAACCATAATGGTTTATTTCTCACTCCTGCTCCATGTTAATCAAGAGTCAGCCGGGAGTTGTGCTCCATGTCATCTGCACTGCAGGACCCAGCTGATGGAGCCAGCTCTATCTGGAATGATCCTAGTTGCTGTGACAGAGGGAAAAGAGCAGCCTCTGAAAGCTCTTTCAGCAACAACTCGGTGATATGGTTCCAAAGTAACATATCACTTTTCTTACAACTCTTGGACCAGAATTATTCATGTGACCCCATTCACACAAGGGGACCAGAAAATACAATCCTACCATTTGTTTATACATGTGCCTGGAAGTAGAGAACTGGGATATTTGCCAAACAGTCCTAATGACTACCACAATTAAACTGAGAATCAATCAGTCCAGGTGTTCATTTCCAACAAACATGCGTAACCCTGCTGAAATATTGCCCTACTGGGTAGAAGTCTGAATCATAAAAATTCCAAAAGTTGCCCCTAACCCTTCCCTTCAGCTCGCTTCTCACTTGTGAGAGCACCCCAGCAAACAACTTTCCTAATGGATCTAGACTGAAACTCTGACTAACCATCACTTTCACAGTGAATATCCTTCAACGGGGCCCTCCTGTCCTCAAGAAAAAGTCAAGCCTCTGTGACCAGACTCTGCCAGTTACTGCAGCCTCCTCTCTCTCTGCCACCAGCTCAATTGTGTCAGGCTCTAATAAGCATAGCTTATAAAGAGTTGGGCACATCCTACTGTTTCTGAATGCTATCCCTTTGCTCCTGTGGTTTTCCCTGTATGGAATACTCTTGCCTATTATTCTCACCCATTAAGATTCAGGACAATCATTCTCTTGTCCACAGAACCTTCCGTGACCACCAGTCTGCTATTGCACCAGATCCAAAGTATCAAACTACCCCAACCACTGCTATCAAACCAGAACCAAAGTACCAAGTCACAGGACTTCACCCCATCAGGTTAAATGACTGCATTTATATATACAAGTTAGTATAGCACTCACCAGGTGCCAGACAGCTTTCTAAGCACTTTTCATATATCAACTCATTTAGTCCTCATAACAACCTACAAGCAGATATTATTACTATTTTTTATTTTACAGATAAGGACACAGAGGCATCTGGACATTAATTAATTTGTATAAGGTCCCACAAGTGATGCAGAGTTGGGCTACAACCCCAGGCTGGCTGGTGGGCTCTGAGGCATACTTTTAAATCACCCTGCCATTAACTACCAAAGGCACACAGGTCTGTCTCCCATTGGGAATGTAAGGTGTTCAATGGTTAAAAAAATACACAAGTACCTCATTTCTTTCTGTAACCCCAAGGCCTGGAACACAGTTATTTAAGCAACAGCAGCTGTTCAACTGGGGTTAGTTCAGATAAAATAAATTAGACCCTGGAATCCCAAAATCAACTTTTCAACTAAACAAAGTCCTCTTGATGAGTGACATTTAGGAAATGGTCAGATCATTACCATATACGCCTTTTTCCTGAATCCCAGCCCTTCCTCCAAGGCTGATGGCAAACCTGGTAATAGAGAGGCAAGAAGGGCCTGAATTATTAGAAAGATCCTTAGAAAATGGGCTACTATAAGTTGGAGCAAGCATAAACAATCATTGTGGAATGTTTAGAAAATCCTGAATAACTGGAAATGTGAGAATTTGACTTCTCTGTGGAGAAAACAGCACAAAGCTTTCTTAAAAGTTTTTCTCCCTCACATAATTATGCTTTAAATTGTTAATAGCTATAATTATGGAAGATGGCATTGTTGTGCTTGTAATTTTTCCTATTTCCCTTGGTATTTATTGATGATAAATGGCTTTATTAAAAAATAATGATAATTACCTTGTTTTGTTGTATATCAACATTGTTTCAGTTTTTCTTTATTACTGCTTATGGAACTTTATGGATTGCCAACATTTAGCTCTTTTATTGGTTTATATTTTCTTGATGTTATAACAAGGGGGTAGAGTTAACAATAATTTTATCCCTTCATTTCCTGACCCCCAACCCCACCCAACTCCTTTAAGAAAGGACTCTAGTGTACTATTCACATGCTGCTACAGGAGGGTATAATTGTTACTACTCAGTAATTAGAAAAATTAGTTGCATATCCAAAAAATCTCCTCTCCTATAGGAGTGGAAAGTTATTGGTTGGGTATGCAGCTAATTGCATACTCAAGGGCCAGTACCTCCCCAAATGGTGGAAAGTGGGATGCTCTGTCCTCACACTGCGCTGCACAGAATTAGCATCCTTAGCTTGGAATGAAGCCCCTTCTGCTGAGACCAGAGTTTTAAACCTGTTACATTAACTGCCAGAGGATCAAATAGGCAAACAGTTTATCTCAGTGTTCCCCAGAAGAAAACCCCCATTTGGTTTAAGAAATATTTGCAAGAACCATTACAACAGAAGTCAACTTCTCCACAGAGGATATCACAGTTCTTAGATAGTTCCTGCCCCAGAATAATTTCCCTTGGACCTGGTTTGAGTTTTCTGTGGAGAGTCAGCCCTTGAAATGCTCAGAAGACTACATATCTTTTTGTTTATCAACAGCCCTCCACTCGAGAATAGACTGTTTCATGTTCTCCACAAAACATAAGCCAAATCAGATGAATCACCCAAATATAAGTTGTCCACGATTCTTTGAAAACTGCATTTGGTTTTCATAAGAAAGTGAAGTCCAAGCCCAGAACCAAGAAGAGGAGCAGCATCAGCTCTTGTGATACTTTATGTTTACATCATCCAGTTGGGAAGGACAGGGATATAAGGAAAAGAACATCACGTTTGGACTCAGACCCCATCTGTCCAACCTGGGGTCATGTTCTTAGCTTCTTTGAATCTCACGTCTCTTTCCACAAAAATGATGTTAGCAACATCTGCAATTCAGGTTTGTTGCAAGGACTCAATGGGTTAAATGTCTGGCACACAATTGCTTACTTTATATCATCTAATTTTCCTTTCTTCTAGACCAGTAGTTCTTGACTGGGAGTGATTCTGCCCTCCACTCGGAGACATTTAGCAGGGTCTGGAGACATTTTTGATAACTTGAGGAGGGCCGTGCAACTGGCACCTAGTGGGTAGCCAAGGACGTGGCTCAGCACCCTACAATGCATGGGACGGCCCCACAACACAGAATTATCCAGCCAAAAATGTCAATAGGGCCAAGCTTAAGAAACCTTATCCTAGGCTAGCGTTAAAATAATTCTTTCATTCTGATTGTTTCTTCTCCACAGCTTCTGCGTTTTTTAAGGAGCAAAGACTGACTGAAAATCTACCTGTTCAAAGCTCTGTGCTAGGCATATCCTTAACCATCTCATATATTTGGTTGCCTGCTGCCATTTTCCCAAAGCCACTTGTGTCTTCAATTATTGTCCATCCCTATGAATATCAAGACTCGGCTTCTCTTTTCTTCTTTATGCTGCTCTCAGAGGTCCTGAAATCAGACACGCTGTGTATCAGAGCAAAGACCCGTATTAATCAACAATTCCAAATATAGCAACAGCAGTTTGAAAATCAAAGAATGGGCCTTGGGGACATCAATATTTGCATGTTCATAATAAATACTTAACTACACATCTGTGCAATGTTCAACATAGTTGGGAGAGAAAAAGAACATTTATGTTGATTTCTGTCAAGTTCCACAACTAAAGCATCTGATGTGCTAAATAAATGTAACCGAATAGTCACAAAGATGATTTTTAATATATTTGTAATATGCACTTATGAATCAGAGACATTCCTGGTTTACTTGGGGATTTTTATAACCATCAATTAGCTTATACACCTACCCTGGGGTCAGTGAAACGAATAATTTTCCAGTTTGTACATTAAACGTCCATTGCTTTCCTATCTGAATCTGCTCATCTCTGCCACTCATACTGACCCTACATGTAACGTTAAAGGTCCAGTTTCATTTTTCATTCTTCTTATTGTATGTTGCACACATGTGTATCTTTCTATGAGCATAAGCCCCTGCTAACTATTTATTGTGGGTTTACAACCTGCCAGGCTCTGCTGTAAGTGCTACGTAGTGGCAATCTCATTTTATTGTCACAAAACCCTACAAAGTCAGATGGCATACCCCACTCCCATTTTACAGGGAAAAAAAAATGTAGACTTACAGAGGTTAAGTAAGTTGGCCAAAGTCACACAGTTAGAAGTGTCTGAATGAGTGTTCACACCCTGGGTGTCTGATTCCAAAATCCATGCTCATCACCCCTAAACTACATTAGGAGGAAACAGACCAGACACCTGGTGAGTGTTCTTTATAAAGAGTTAAGCAGAGGGCACATACTCTTTGACTTACAAATCTACCTCAAAGAAGCTATTGTCCACAAACGCCAGTTCATGTGCAGAAACACAAATACAAAAGTATGTTGACTGTTGCATAATTTGAAAAGAAGATAAGAGTTAGCAACCTAACCAAGGGAAGCAGATCCAGTCTATGGATACAAAGTGGGGAGAATGTAGCAGAGTGTTTTCTTATTCATTATCACTTTCTCTTCTTCATTAGTAAAAGGACTGTGGTTTTATTCTGTATGGCAATGCACCAGGTTAAACACTACTTTCCCTCCCCTGTCCCAGCCAGGAACAGCTATATCTCATAAATGGTTAACAAATAGCTCTCTCTTATACCAGTTTCTGTTGTGTAAATTCTTTTGCTATGGCCAATTTCAAGCCACCAAACTCAAGTCAATGGCTTGCAAAAACTTCAGCAAATGTAACAATTGGCTTTCATAACCTAGGGTGAGCTGGCTTTAGCACATGACTGGCTAGTGATGAGCAATGTAAACAAATTAGTCCCTGCATAAAAATAGGATGGACAACTAGCTGGCTTGTGCCTTTTCTTTTCCTCTCCCCTTCTTCCTCCTTCTGGCTTAAAACTTGGATGATACGACCGGAACTCCAGCAGTTACCTTATATCATGAAGTATCTTAGAAAATGAAAGCCATAGCTAAGGATGACGATACAAACAGAAGAAGGTTTGTGGTCTGTTGACCCCAGGAAGTTAACACAAGAGGCTTGATCTGCTCCCTTTTGTAAAAGAAACTAAAACTCCCATTTTAAGCCACTGCTGTTTTGATTTTCTTTTTCTTTTTTTTTAAGACAGGATCTCACTCTGCAGCCTAGGCTGGAGTGCAATGGCATAATCTTGGCTCACTGCAACCTCCACCTCCCCAGTTCAAGCAATTCTTCTACCTCTGCCTCCTAAGTAGCTGAGACTACATGTATACATCACCATGCCTGGCTAATTTTTGTATTTTTGGGTGGAGACAGAGTTTCACCATGTTGGCCAGGCTGGTCTTGAACTCCTGACCTCAAGTGATCTGCCCACCTCAGCTTCCTAAAGTGCTGGGATTACAGTCATGAGCCACTGCGCCTGGCTATGATTTTGGTTTTCTACTACACACTACTTAAAACAGAGACCTTCAGACTTTGCTTTACATCTCTATTACTTGTATCTGTTATAATAAAAATGTTTTATTACAGTATTATTTACAAAATTTAAAAGGCAAAGAGGGTCAAGGGGTTGGGCCCTTGATTTTGGCAACAGTATCCACAAGTCATGACGGTGGGGGATCTGGGGGAAACTAAGAGAAATGACAGGTCTGACACACAAATCAACACCACGGTAAGTCCTGACAATGAAAGGGACAGACTGGAATCCAACCAAGTTCACCAATTGCCAAAAAGATTTCTGTCCAAATAAGATTCAGGCGCCTCCTGAGATAAGCCTTCGGTGAAACATCCTATAGGTAATGCAGAGAGCACAGGATGTGCCGCCATGCTGACGTCTCCAACCCAGGGAACACCCAGGAAACCTGACAACAGGGAGGGAAAGCAGCAGAACTCCAGCCCCCCACCCAGGCAGAAGGGGCTCCGTGATTAAGGTGTCCCAATTAAGGGGACCCCAGAGACGATGGCAAAGAAATACAAAACAGAATATCAAACCACCACCAAGCATGGGGAAGAGCCAGAAAAGATGGAGACACTCAAAGCTGTACTATCAGATGTACTATGTACTATCAGAGAGAGCTGCAAACAGCAACCTGGTGGTGAAGTCCTTGGGGACAGCACAGACAAATCTAATGGGGGCTTCATGGTCACATTCCCCAAGGTGGTCATAAACACTACACTGAGAGTGACACACTGTAAAATCAATTGTGTGATTCTTCTGCCTTTTCTTACACAAAATAACTGCCAAGTCCATTTAGGAGTCATCCTTGTAGACCAGGTTAAGTCACCAGGCTTTTAGTACATCCTGTGTGCCCAAAAGTAGGGTGTGTACTATGGAAGAGATATTAACCATAGGTCCCTATTCTTAAAGATGCTGTAACTTAAAAGGAAAATGAATTACACATAGATAAAAATATGGTTCTAGAGAACCACCATCTATGTTCAAGCATTGGATGTATATTCAAACCTTAATGTTTATGAATTCAGAGAAGAAAAGCAAAATTCTTCCTGGAAAAGAAGAAAAACTGCACAGAGAATATGGTCAGGAAGACATAAGTCTTTGGCCAGGCCCTGGAGAATAGACATCATTTGGGTCAGAAAAAAAAAATCAGAAAGAATATATACCATATAGGAAAATGGCACACAATTGGTCCTAAACCAGCATATTCCCAACGAACAATAAAAATAGTGAAGAAAAGAAAACTAGAGAGGGGAAAGGATAATATTGGACAGTCATGAGTACTAATCTTGAAAAAGAAAAGTGGAGATTGCTCATTTTTCACTGAAAAATGCATCAATAAATATTAGCTAGATACCAGTTAGGTGCCTGAACCCTTGTTCTGGAGCCTCAAATACCCAACTGTTGGCTCCTGGACAATGGTGAGCCCCTAAAGGCTGAGCAACGGACTCCACCTACTCAATGGAATTGATGGAAACCCATGCTTTTCATACTGCCCAAAATGGGAAGTTGTTCTGAGGAGAAGCAGCCCAGATTTTTCTAGGCATCAATTGCTCATAACTGAAAAAAGTGATAACTGACTTGGGAGTAACAAGGCTGCCCCTTGGGCTAAGATGTCTCTTTTCTAGCATTTCACATGCAATGAGATTGAGTCCACTGTGTGCCCCCATCACAATGTCTAGTGTGCCTTGAACACAGCATGTACTCGATAAATATTTGTTTGTGAATTCTACTCATTATATGAAAAGGCCCAAGCAGGGTCCAAGCTAGGGTCGGTCAGTTGTCCAAGGAGCCAGTGAATTGTAACGTAAGGCTAAGTCCATGACATGAGTTCTCTGGGAGGTGGTAGCAGATTTTTCACGATGTTTGATAAAATCAAAGGCAGGGGTATTTAAAACAGAAAGCAGCTCTGGCTTTAAGTTAATGTTTCATATCCAATAAAGAAAGCTAAATATCTATCGTTTTGATAGATTGCTGTAAATGAAACATTAGTGGGGCTCTTAAACACCTTGTTTCAGATCTTCATTACCTGAAATTAATCTTGAACAGAATATCACACCCAATGTGGACTCCATTAAGTAGCCAGTTAGATAACATAGGCTATGCTTTAATAAGGAGGGAATCGGGAACGAAATCTAATAGCACAATTTTACAACCCCTGCAGCCCAAGAGCATTGCAAGCCAGAGTGGCAGAGAATGTTTTCTAGAAAATCTCAAATATAGCCATCATGCCCCGGGAAGAGGACAGCTCACAATCTCTTCTCAAAAACAGCCTAGTGACCATGCTCAGTGTTCAGTGTAGCATACCACATGGTGAAGGTTGGCGAGGTCTTACATCTCCACCCTGGGCCCACCTGGGAATAGAGAGAGCTTTGCTGCCTCCCGACCCCTTCAAGGACTTCCACAGAATCATTAGTTTTGGTGAAGGTTTATCTGGAATTGTCTTCTGCCAACTCCTCTCATTATGCAGAAGGAGACCAAAAGCTCCAAATAGAATAAATTCAGAAGACAGGGAAAAAAGAGGAACACAAAGCTTACATACAAGCAATTAGCTGAGCTAAAAGCAAGTTGAGGAAAACAAATGCAAATCTCTAAGAATGGAGAGAATGCAAATATCCAGTAATCTCCAGGAATTCACATGGTTGCATGCCATGCTCATGTTACAGAGGCTGTTGCGTGTCCATGCCATGCACCCACAAACAGAGATCGAAATGGACTTTACCGTTACAGAAGGCACATGGAGAATCTGGCTAGGGAAGACTGTTCCTTTAACCTTTGCATTCAGCACAGAAAGTAAAGACTATTTACCAGAAGACCCTACAAAACCTATTTGCTACAATACGGATGCTTTTAGAATCATCCTAGCTCAAATTCCCCCAGCAGGCAAGTTCCTTCAAAACGAAACAAGTATTTCACTCCAGGATACCATTTTCATGCATTTCTATATCTACATGTTTCTTCCTTTGATACTTTTGACCCACTTGAATGAGCATTATTTACCTTTCTTAACCAGCTGATCATTTATAGTAATCATAGTCAACATGTACATACCAGGTACTCTTTTACATGCTTTGTTTTCTATATACTAACTCAATCATCCTAACAACACTGTGAGATAACTACTATTACTATCCCCATTTTATAGGTGAGGAAACTGAAGCTGAGGAGGCAATTAGCTCTCTTACCTGCAGTCACATAGCAATTAAGTGGAAGACCTGGGGTCTGAACGGAGTCATCTGGCTCCGCCAGTCCTCCTTTTAATCCCAACATGATATTGCATCGGTTTCACTTGTTCACTCCAGGGTTTAATAATATGAACCCAGACACATCATCTAGAATGTAATGGTAAGAAAAACCAAGCGTCCTTGGCCATATTTTTCTCTCATTCCTTCCACCTCATTCCCTATTTTCGGTATTTAGCAATTAGGTATTTCTTCTGCCCACTGAAATATGTTTTTGACACAAACATGGCCATAAGATATTCTAGCAAATACAGAAGTGACCCAAACCAGGCAATGTATTGTTTATTTTGACCATGAGGGGATTTCCTTAATCTTGACATCTTGGCTGGTTTGGGGCATTTCACTTGACTGAAAGAAAGGGAGGAGATGAACATTTATTGAGCAGTTGCTCACCACGTACCAGGCAATGTGCCTGGTGTTCTCACCTAGATTGCTGTTTAATACCAAAAGCAAACCCACCCAAGGTAACTAATGATATCCCATTTTTAGAGACAAAGAAACAGACTCAAAAAGGTTAATACTTACATCATGGTCAAGGAGACTCACTTTGGAGGGATGGCAGGTGGATTCAAGCTAAAGCCTAATCTAAACCTGAGGCTATTTCTACAACAGCATGCTAGGCAGGAGATACCCTATCCTGTAAAACCAGAAACCATTCTCAGATTTTTTTTTTTTTTTTTTTTTTTTTTTTTTGCCTCTGAGCAGTAAGTCTTTACAGATTTACTGGTTGTTAAATGCTACTGACTCTAGCTAATTCCCAAATCAACTAGATTCCTTTTGGAGCTTGTAAAATGTGCTACACACTCAACTTCCGAATTTAGCATGCAAGATGATGACCACAGCAGTAAGAATGGTGCAACTTTCTCGTTAGAACAATGCACGCCTAAAAGCCTCCTTTTAATTTCTATCTTCTTTTATGAGGACTATGTGATCGAGGACACACCTAGGATACTGCATATTAATTTCAACACAGCTAATACCCAAAATGTCCCACCAATTTACTCTTCACTGACAATGTTAAAAGAAAATGATTTATGCAGATCAATCATCTCGCTCATCAAGTCCTACCCTGACAGCCAGCCTTCATCATCGCTATTTAAAAGGCACTGCTGACAGAAAAGACCGACTCTTTGATTAAGGGCCCTGTCTGGCTAACCTTTTATTTGAAGAATGATTGCCGCTGAGTGACAAATACTTTTCCATTCATTTCAAGGCAAAGATATTGACATTCAAATTCTTGATGGCTACACTGAGCAGATGCCACTGTTGGCAAGAGGCATGAGAGCAACAGCAGGTACTCCACGGCTCTGGGGGCAAGGGAAAAAGAATAAAACTGAAACACATGCACGCAGGCACTGGCTAAAGGTTCTCAACTAGTGAAAGTTGTGGGTCTCTCAGCCAGATCCTCTTTCTTCAACAGTCAGCAAAGGGCATCTGCTTGCAGTTTCGCCCCAGTCTCCTTCTCACAAGTGCCTAGCTTTATGTTGACCCTACT